GAACGTTGTCGTTCTGATCCAGAATAAACACGTTCACTGTCACGTTACTGCTCAGAGACGGATTTCCAGAGTCTGTGGCGATCACGTGAAACTGAAACGTTTTAATTGCTTCGAAATCAAAGCTTTTAAGGGAATGAATAACCCCTGTTTCTGAATTTATGTTCAAGAATGAGGTTATCTCGTTCTGTGTCCCTACACCTCTGTTTATTTGATACGATATCAAGGCATTTTCATTCACGTCTTTATCAGATGCTCTTACTGAGAATATGGAGGCTCCAGGAGCATTATTTTCAAATATGTAAAGCTCAAGAAAATTACTAGAAAATTCTGGCTGGTTGTCATTCACATCTGCTACTTTGATGCTTAAGGTTTTGATAGATGATAAGGGCGGCTGACCTAAATCTGTTGCTGTAATTGTGATGTCATAATGGGGCACAAGTTCACGATCCAAACGCCCCTTTGTCACCAGCGAGTACATATTATCTTGAAAAGATGGTTTCAACTCGAAAGGAACATTCTCTGAGAGACTACATACAACTTTACCATTAACACCAGAGTCTTTATCTGTGACACTAATCAGCGCAATTACTGTTCCAGGTTTAGAGTCTTCAGCAACAATATTAGATAATGAAGTCAGCTCAATTTCAGGTTTATTATCGTTTATATCTTGTATTTTTATAATAACTCGACCTTGAGCAGAAAAAGGAGGCTGACCTTTGTCTGAAGCCTGCACATCCAGTTTGTAAACGTCTGTGTCCTCAAAGTCTACCTCGCCTTTCACCTTTATTTCGCCTGTAATGCGATCCAATTGAAATACGTCATAAACTTTGCGCTTTAAAGTTTTACCAAGCGAATACTCAATTTCACTGTTTGAGCCCTCGTCGCTATCAGTTGCCTTTATTTTAATCACAGTCGTTCCAACTGGGGAATTTTCCTGTAAACTGACAGAATGCGTGTCTTGACTGAATACCGGGCGATTATCATTAATATCCAATACGGTAACGGTGATGTTAAGTGTACCTGATTTTGGAGGGTTTCCACCATCGAGGGCTTTTAAAATTAGCAGGTGCTCTGACTTATGTTCGCGATCGAGTGGTTTTTTCAACACTAAAAAGGGGATTTTATCCTCATCGCTGTTTCTGATGTCAATCTCGAAATTGTCATCCTGACTCAATTTATACAAACGAACAGAATATGGTGAGGCATCCTGGTCTCGTGCTGCGTGCAGCTGGAAGCTCGTTCCTATAGGGGTGTGTTCTGCAATCTCAAAATGTTGATTCTGTTCAGAAAAACTAGGATGGTTGTCATTTATGTCTATTATTTCTACTGCAACGTAGTGAATTTCTAAAGGATTTTCGACCGCAGTTTTTAGATTTACTACGCATGCACCGTTCCCGTCACAAAGCTCCTCTCTGTCTATGCTTTTATGAATATACAATTCGCCATTGTTCTGATTTACCTGGAAAAACGCGTCTTTAGAACCAGAGACTATACGGAATCGTCTTTCGACCAATGTACTCACGTCAAGTCCAAGATCCTTAGCAATATTTCCCACAACAGATCCCTCTTTCATTTCCTCTGGAACAGTGTATCTTATCTGAGCTGAAACCTGCGGTCCGAAGCAGAGAAGAAAAGAGAAACACAAAGCCATCCACCAGTTCTCCCATCTGCGCCTTTGTTCATCCATCGTTAAGAATTCCTTTAAAACAGCTTAAAACAAGTAACGATGGTGTTCAGTGGAAATGTTCTATTCCCAGATGCAACATTCTTGATTAAATAACATCGATAACATTTTAGAACATTTCCTATATTTCCGCTTCTCGCGATATACTTGTCCGCTGCTGTCACAGTTTAACTGGACGGAACAGCCATGCGCACCACACATAGATAGGCAGGGCCAAAGCTTTACTTCATATCCTCATATCCTAATGTAACACTGACACCACATGGTATAAAAGGAGTAGTAGTAAATCTAAACTGTCACGTAAAAAAATAAATGCTCATCAACGCAAGACGTAACATTAGAACACAATGCACAACAAGCAATCACTATGCTTCGACATAGTGGAAAAAGGCCATTATTTATTAAATTATTTTTCAAACAAACTAGGAAACGAAAGTATTGCTACTATGCAAAGGTGAAACATTTCAGCACCATGGACAACGAATATCAACAATTACAATTCGATGACAATAGGCCTGAGAAAGTGTTGTTTAATATAATTCACATACTCTTACCTCTCCAGAACCTCTCCTCCTGCGATCTGGGATCACTAGAGTATTTCCATTACTGCCAGGGACTATAGTAGAGCCGATACTCATTCTGGGTCCAACTAACATGTACCGTTTGTCTCCAGATCTGTACTGGATGCTGTGACACAGAGTCCCGTCGTAATTTGTATCTCTTTGGGCTCCACAACTTTGACAATCACAGTCGCTGTTGCTGAGAGTGAAACGTTCCCATTGTCTTTGACCAGTATGAGCAGTTTATGCTGGGCCTCGTCTGTTTCTGTGAATGAGCGAAGGGTCCTTATCTGTCCTGTATAGCGGTCCAAACTAAAGAGACTGTGGTCACTAACTTCCTGCAGTGAAAATAATAACCAGCCGTTGTATCCTATATCTGCGTCATAGGCTCTGACTTTAGTCACCAAATGACCTGCGTTCACATTACGGGGAATCTCTTCCACACCCTCAGCAGAACCGTTAGCGCTGATTGGATATAAGATCACTGGAACGTTGTCGTTCTGATCCAGAATAAACACGTTCACTGTCACGTTACTGCTCAGAGACGGAGTTCCAGAGTCTGTAGCAACAACTTGGAACTGAAACTTTTTAACAGATTCAAAATCAAAACTTTTAAGCGCATGGATAACGCCACTTTCATGGTTAATACTGAGAAATGAAGACATATCACTCTCTGTTCCATTTCCTCTAGCTATCTGATATGAGATCGCGGCATTTTCATTTAGATCTTTGTCTGACGCGCTCACAGAGAATACTGATGCACCAGGAGTGTTATTTTCCACTAAATACAGCTCGAGGGGATTTTTGACAAACTCTGGTTTATTATCATTAACATCAACCACCTGCACAGTAACAGTTTTAAAATAAGAGAGAGGCGGTTGACCTAAATCACTGGCTTTGATTGTGATTTTATAATCTGCGATAAATTCCCTGTCCAAGCGTTCTTTAGTAATTAAAGAATACATGTTTTCCTGAACAGATGGCTTTAACTCGAACGGAACATTGTCTGAAAGACTACAAACAACCTTGCCATTAACACTAGAGTCTTTATCTGATACACTAATCAGAGATATTACAGTTCCAGGTTTTGCATTCTCGGAAATTGTGTTAGAAAGGGACGTGACGTCTATCTCGGGATTATTATCATTTTCGTCTGTGATCTTTATAATGACTCTGCAGTCAGTGGTCATCGGCGGCTGACCCTTATCCGTAGCCTGGACGGTCAATCTATGTATCTCGCTCTCCTCAAAATCGATTGGCTCTTTAATCTGAATTTCGCCAGTTACGCTATCAAGGCTAAATATTTCATGAACTTTTCGTCTACTAGTTTTTCCCAGAGTGTAAATAACCTCCCCATTTAAACCCTCATCAGAATCAGTGGCATTTACGCGTGCTATTACTGTCCCTATAGGTGTGTTTTCTGGAAGCGTTACTGAATATATATCTTTACTACATACAGGGCGGTTATCGTTGATATCAAGAACAGTAATAGTAATATTCAATGTACCTGACTTTGGGGGGATGCCTCCATCCACAGCAGTCAACACGAGTCTATGCTCTGAATTTTGCTCTCTGTCTAAATGTTTAAGTAAGACTAAAATTGGATTATTTTCCTCTTCGTCACCCTCTCTCATTTCTAGCTCAAAAAAATTACTCTTTGCTAATTTATAAAGCCGAATAGAATGGCTTCCGATGTCAGGATCTCTTGCAGTTTGGAGCTCGAAACGTGCACCTTCAATAGTGTTTTCAGCCATTTCAAAATGCTGTTCTTTCTCGGGAAAACGAGGACTGTGATCATTAACGTCTGCGATTTCTACTCCAACATAATGTATTTCAAGTGGATTTTCAGCGGCGATTTTCAGATTTATCAGGCACACGCTATTTCCATCACACAACTCCTCTCTGTCAATTTTCTTACTCGCATACAATTCACCGTTGTTCTGATTTACCTCAAAAAGAGCATCTTTCGATCCAGAGACGATACGGAAACGCCTGTCCACCAGAGTATTCGCATCAAGACCCAAATCCTTTGCGATATTTCCCACAATAGATCCCTCATTTACCTCCTCTGGTATAGAATATCGTATTTGAGTTGAAACCTGCATCCCAAACCTCAGCAGCAAAGAGAAACACAAAGCAATCCACCAGCATTCCCATTTGCGCCTTTGTCCTGCGGCTTCCATCGTTAAAATATTTCTTTAAAACAATAATAATAATACAATTTCAGATCATTTGCGAGAGTGAACTACTCATTCATGACAGCGTGTATTCATTGTAATATCGTCGCTTTTAAATAACAGAGGAAAATGGTCATATCCAGCTTCTCGTGATATATAGCTCCCATCGCAGTAAAAATGAACAGAACAGCCATGCGCACCACATTATCAATGGGCAGGGCACAATCTCTCCTGAATATCCTTATGTAACACTGACACCACATGGTACAAACAGGTAAACATGAATTGTTATATATGCCACCTAAGGCGACCGTAAAATGACTGCCCGACACATACAGGAACGTCTGAAAGTAATAATTTAATAAATGACACTTATATACTTATCGCAACATATCTATTATACAATATTTCAAATGGTAAAACTAAAGAAAGAGATAAGCACTTTTCCGACAAATTATGATAGGAAAGATTGTTATTCTACAAAGGTGAAACATTTCAGCACCATGGACAACGAATATTTATTCCATCGTTCAAAACGTAATTCCCAAGCAACCAATGAATAAATAATGCTCTTATTAGTCAGAACATAAAATAACCCACATAGTGCACTCGATCCTGAAAAAATTAAAATCACAATTTGATGACAGTAAGCCTGAGAAAGTGTTGTTTAATATAATTCACATCCTCTTACCTCTCCAGAATCTCTCCTCCTGCGATCTGGGATCACTAGAGTATTTCCATTACTGCCAGGGACTATAGTAGAGCCGATACTCATTCTGGGTCCAACTAACATGTACCGTTTGTCTCCAGATCTGTACTGGATGCTGTGACACAGAGTCCCGTCGTAATTTGTGTCCTGTAAATACTTCGACGAATAGTCAGTCGATTTAGAGCACTGCATTATAATCAACACAATGATGCTGATGACAAAAAGCACCGAAACTGAACCCAAAGTGATGATCAAAAAAAATGTCACGTTGTTTTCCTCCTCGTCTTTTAATGCATTTTTAATATCAGAAGCTGCAAAAGCCTCTTTGGGCTCCACAACTTTGACAATCACAGTCGCTGTTGCTGAGAGTGAAACGTTCCCATTGTCTTTGACCAGTATGAGCAGTTTATGCTGGGCCTCGTCTGTTTCTGTGAATGAGCGAAGGGTCCTTATCTGTCCTGTATAGCGGTCCAAACCAAAGAGACTGTGGTCACTAACTTCCTGCAGTGAAAATAATAACCAGCCGTTGTATCCTATATCTGCGTCATAGGCTCTGACTTTAGTCACCAAATGACCTGCGTTCACATTACGGGGAATCTCTTCCACACCCTCAGCAGAACCGTTAGCGCTGACTGGATATAAGATCACTGGAACGTTGTCGTTCTGATCCAGAATAAACACGTTCACTGTCACGTTACTGCTCAGAGACGGAGTTCCAGAGTCTGTAGCCAACACCTGAAACTGTCCAGTTTTCATCGTTTCAAAATCAAAACTTGTAAGCGCATGGATAGCTCCAGTTTCCGAATTGACATTCAGGAATGACGATAAATCGCCTTTTGTTCCATCACCTCTAATTATATGATATGAAATGACAGCATTGTCGTTCATGTCTTTGTCAAGTGCGCTAATGGAAAATACTGACGCGCCGGGCGGATTATTTTCGAATATGAAAAGCTCGAGAGGATTCTGCGGAAATTCTGGTTTATGATCATTCACATCTGAAACCTCAATGCTTAAAGTCTTTACTGAGGACAGAGGAGGCTGCCCTAGATCAGTAACAGTTAATAAAATGTCATAATGAGCAACCAACTCCCGATCTAAAGCCTTTTGCGTCACAAGCGAATAAATATTTTCCTGAAAAGAAGGTTTTAGCTCAAACGGAGTACCCTCAGAAAGACTGCAGACTATTTTTCCGTTAGCACCCGAGTCTTTATCTGATACACTAATCAGTGAAATAACAGTTCCTGATTTAGAATCCTCGGGTACTAGATTGGATAGAGAGGTGACCTCTATTTCTGGTTTATTATCATTTACGTCTGTAACTTTTATGACTACTCTACAGTTTGTAGTCATGGGAGGCTCTGCGCTGTCTGACGCTGTGACGTCAGCTCTGTATACTTCTGTGTCTTCGTGATCAACATTACCTATAACACGAATTTCACCTGTATTCTTGTCTATTTCAAATGTATCATACACCTTTTTCTTTAAGTTGCTCACAAATGAATATATTATATCACCATTCTTTCCCAGATCTGCGTCTGTGGCATTCACTTGTAATATGAGACTCCCTACGGGAAGATTTTCAGTAATTGTAACTGAGTAAACATCTTTACTAAACACAGGTCTGTTGTCATTAATATCAATTACATTTATGGTAATGTTCATAATGCCTGATTTCTGTGGATTTCCACCATCGAGAGCGGTTAACACTACGTGGTGCTTACTATGTCGCTCCCTATCAAGAGCTCTCTGCAGTTTAAGAATAGGGATCTTGTTGTCTTCTCCGCCATCTCTAATTTCCAATTCAAAATGTTCGTTATGACTCAGTTTGTATGTACGAAGGGAATTTGCTCCAGAATCGGGGTCGCGAGCTGCGAGCAACTGAAAATCAGCACCAGTTAAAGTATTTTCTGCGATCTTTAAATTCTGTTCTTTCTCGGGGAAAACAGGTGCATGATCGTTGATATCCGTAATCTCAACGCCAACATAATGAATTTCGAGGGGATTTTCGAGAGCAATTTTCAGATTCACTTGGCAGACATTATTGTCGGCACAAAGCTCTTCTCTGTCGATTCTGTTTTGAACATAGAACATACCATTGTTCAGATTTACCTGAAAAGGAGCATCCTTAGATCCAGAAACGATACGAAATCGCCTTTCCACCAATGTACTGACATCAAGACCCAAATCCTTTGCAATATTTCCTACAACGGCTCCCTCTTTGATCTCCTCTGGAACAGAGTATCTTATCTGAGCTGAAACCTGCTGTTCGACGCAAAATAGAAAAAAGAGGCACAGAACAAACCACCAACACTCCAGTTTGCGTCGTTGTCTTCCGTCCCCCATCGCGAATATTGGAATGATTTGTCCAACAGCTAAACAGCACATTGAATGACGTGCATTTCATGTGTCGTACAGACCTGGAAATCTAACCCAAAATATGGTCCTTCTCTTTAACACCA